TATAGGTGGGCTCAACTGTCCACTAGGCTGCTGGAGATCTAAACTACGGTCTTCATGCTTGAACTGCAAATGCTTTGTACACAATCCACAGTTCCATCTTTAAACTGGCCCATAAAACACAATGCATTATAAGTAATATACAACTATAAGGTATTTATATTAAGCACACAATTGAAAGTACCTAAAGTGTATAAGACAATTATCTATTTGTTCAGCTTTAGAATACTTCAAATTAAATTAATGAGAATTGCTTTAAATGAAAATCAGATACACTGGACGCATAAATTATAACTTAGACCGTGATTTTCATGTCTATATTTTTGAAAAGATATTGGTCAGAAGCAAATATTTCCATAAAGTTTTTTTTAATAATGACTGAACTGTATAATCTAAATCACCACAAGTAAATGACATGCATATATCACTTCAAAGGCTTAATGGGGTTTCCATAGATGCACATGCCAATTTGACTGACAACCTTGTATATGTTATTGCACTCATCCTGTTGTCCTGAAACCATTAATCTACATATTTATCTACACAATGAAACTGCTTATTTCTTAAATTGGTGCTGATTTATGTCTCTAGTGCCCAGTCTGATGTTGTTATGTTCTAAGAGAACTTCACCAGATGCTAAATCTGCCGGCATCTCGCTATAGGCTTCCCATACACAAAAAGTGGGAGACACAAATTTCTGTGCCATACAAGCCTCTGAAGTTATGCCATGTTGTTCCAGTGACAGGAGGACAGCAGTCCTATGACATTTGCTAAGTTCACAACAAATTTTGAAAAAAAAAATTAAACTGCATTCTTATTTACACCATTGAACATCACTATGTGTGTCTTTTTGTTGTTTAATTTCTGAACTTTGTATGTTATAGTCTAAGATAAATTTGATAAAGCTCCTAAATATCAGCTTTCCTGATGAAAAAAAATCAGTAGTGAAATATATGGCCTTTATATATGCCAAAGAATATTCAACTAACCTTTCCAAGCATTCCGTTATTTTCAAACAAGAGCACATAAGTTTCCTTAAAGCTCCTCTGTTTTCTAGCTCAGAATTCTACCAGTTTATTGAGTAGTTATAAAATAATGTCTAGTAAATTTTCAAGCTTGTTTTGCAATGGAAAATTTCAGTCATATGGTAAATTCCACAAAGTAGTGCATGTTCTAATGGACACATTTGTCTTGTCTCCACAGGTATTATTCCAAGAACCATCTGTTCTATTTTTCCCATCTTTCCCAGTGGCCAGGAAGTGAATCCCAGATATCTTCTCACTCCATCCATACTCTACCATCTATCTGAATAACACAGAGTTCTGGAACTGAGTCACATTTTTTTTTTTACTCAGTTCACAATAATTCTTTTTAAATACCCATTATTTGTATTTTCAATTGTTTCCAATCTACATATAAATTTTGCTCTATGTTTTTTTAAAATAGGACCTAAATTTTCTACACGCTGCCAATTTATTATAATGCATCCTTAATGTATAGATTTTTCTCTCTACCTCACTTGTTTTTTGCATTACAGTTCATTTTTGTTGAACAACAGAATTTTCTTTTTTTCTATTTCACCTATAGAATTATCTCTCAAACTGAATTTTATTGATTAATTATTGTAGCTAAGTATAACATGACTCTCATATTTACAGGCTTATCACATTCAGCATATATGTGTTGTTATTGTATTTTATTAAACCACCTCACAGAGAATAATGATAGCATTCGAATTTTGAAATTATGATGGAATTATTTATATAGATCCATTTATAAAAGGCCCAATATTACTCCTGTTATAAAATTCTGAATACTATCATGTAGAGCAAGAGTACAGGTCCAATTTCAAATGTGTAGTATTCTGACATAGAAATCTTTCCACATAAAAGTGACTATGCACACTTTGTGATTTACAGCATCCTTGAACTAAACATAAAATTAACAAAATTATCTTTGGTCAAATTGCATTCACATGAATTTAACATTATTAGAGGGAAAAAGAGATACTAGAGAATACAACGGATATGTCTTCTTGTGCATTTAATGAAGGCCTTTGGGAAAACATGACATTCTGTAGACAACAAATATGTGTTTACCTTGCTGTGGCCTTAAATTGTATTAGACACTTCACACTGTAGTTCAGTGTATTAGACAGCATAATAACCATTTATTGAGTGCCTACTGTATTTCAGTGTTGTGGATCTTAGGATGTAAAGACAAGCTTGATAATCCTTCAGCATAATACAGAAGAAAAAATACACACACAGTTTCTGCTTCAACTAATTGTGATGAAAGTATGCTTATAAAAAAACTTAGCACTAAGAATTCATATTGAAAGAGACAATAGCTATTTCAAGAAATCCAATATTTGTATCACCAACAGAGAATCATTATTTAGTCATAGCTACTTTAGCAGTCCACTGTTTTATTTACTAAGTGTAAGACTGCCTTGTTCATAGCTCACACACACAAAGAAAGAGGAGGAGAAACAAGATGGAGGGAGAGAGAAAAAGAGAGAAATTTATATTTCAAAAGAAATACTCTAGACAGAGATTGAAAAACTAAAAGATAGTCTATCCTTTCAAGATGCTTTTTATATGATTTGTGTTAGGCATTCCATACTGATGATTTTCTTAATTCATCCAAAACACATACCACAACTACATTGCTGTAGATGAGAAAATAGTTTTAGTCACTTGTCTGATTTTTTTTCACGCTGATAAGCAGCAAAACAAAAGGTGAAACTGAGTCAACCTGAGTGCAGTGGCACACTACCTGCTTATCAACATGTATATGTGAGAAACAGGAAAACACCTGAAAACCATGTCATTTGAACAGGAGTCAAATTGCTTTAGCTTTAATGCTGTATCCCCATCAGTGTGTGCAGAACTCCTTGTCTCTTTCCATACATGAAATGTGAATAGTTTCAACACTCATTGCATACAGACATCAACAGCATTCATGGAAAGTGGACAGTGTAGTTACTACTTTTACTCCGTGTATGCATATCATTATAGTATTAAGAAGTTAACAGAGAGGAAGTATACCAGTACCTAGCATAGGACAATATGTCTAATGGACAATATTAAATAAAATAGAATATGAGATGCTTTGAAAAATCCTTCCCCCTATGGAAATAAAAGCAACAAAATAGGAAAGACAAATGGGACAGATTTGTCAATAAAGACTAAGAAATACTAGTTCTTCTCACAGTTATTTGCTAAGCCTCCTTTAAAAAGGAGGAATGCCCCATTTTAAACTCAGTAAAACTATGGTCATGCTCATTATTAGAGAACTGTAAGGAAATTCTAAGACTGTGAGAAAGATAATTAGTGTCTGTAAGGAAATGACAACGCCAAGAAATTTGGAAACAATATGTCACTGACAATGTTGCTTTTAGTTTATTAGTGTGTTTCATTCTTTCAGCCATAATCATTTAGAATGGCATGAAATAATTTTAGTAGACAATATCACTATTAAAAAGAAAATACAAAATATCAAAACATAAAATATCAGAGCATATCCAATGAAGTCCAAGCTAATGCAAGACAAATGTCCACCTGTCTATTCATTGTCATGGAAATAGTTCTCAATATCCAGAGGACTCAAAAAGTATGAGAAACACACAGTACCATGTCACCTTCCTCACACTGGTGTGATAAGCAAATACACTGAGGTCCTAAATTCCAAATCCATGACTCAATAATTGCTTAGGCCTACAGCTACTCTAAAAGTATTTCAAGGAAAAAGGAAATATCCTGCATATGGATGGAGAATGGATGGAAGATTTTACATCTTTTATTTGAGTGCATATCCCCAGGAAGTACCTGAGCAATGTTGTTTGGTTATGCTACCACTAACAAGCTGAGTGGGTACATCAATTAAATTTTATGTGCCTTGCTTTTTTTCCACCATGAAAGAGCAGATAACAATTCATTCTTACTAATTACCTCCATGAGACTCTGAGACATTTAGAAAAGTCAGTGTAGTGAAATAGAGAAATGTTCCTGAGAAAGGTGTATATATGTGTGCAAGTACACACACTCGATAAGAAAATTCACTGTCTAAAAAGATAAAATAAAATGGCCTACTGACAGATAACAAGGGAAAATATTTTCTACAATATAAGACAAAGAACAGTTCCTTGACATTAAGGCATATGGGATACCTCTGTTTTCTAGACTGGATTTGTGGGCAATAAGAGACTCCAGTGATAAAATGGAAACTATAAAACACTTGAGACGTGAGTTAAAGTTAGCACAGATATAAGATTACTGGGAATGCTGGGTAAGTGTCTACTAACCTTTGGCATGAGTTCATGTTCCAGTAATCACAGCTATTGCTAAGGCAGTGACTTCCATAAGTAAAAATTGTGTTTTTTTTAATCTTCTTTCAGCTCTTCAAAAGGTAAGGCATGCAATGAAATATTTATTTTCCCATGTGCCTAAATTTCAGAGAGGGGAACTTCCCCAGGTCTATATTTTATTTATTTGGCCACCTGGTACATAGAAGACAGGTTTCTAGTTAACATATCCAAAAACAATTAGGAAACTGTTCCCATCATTATTGGCCCAGGTTTATAGCACCCCGATGGAGATGTTCCTCTATTTGATGGCCTTTCAAGGTACCCCTCAGCTTTGGTGGCAGTTATATGACTAATGTTAAAGAACTGTTATTTAAATATGGTCTCTAATTTTATATTCGTTTTCTTATCATGAAAGTCAATAACGAAGTAGTACAAATGGGAAAATGCTGTAGATTTAGGAAAGGGCCCCGAACTTCAGCCCTACCAACTGAAAGGCTATTACTAAGGGTTGATTTCAAACAACACGGCCAAAAGTTGTGAAGGTGAAAGCGGCAAGTCAGATGAATGAAGATTCAATTTTAGCCAATTTTAACTTAATATGAGAGCAGCAGATGGTGTGACTTATTGAAAGCACTTTTCAATTTTCTGGGAAAAGTAATTTCTTAAATGAAAGGACTCCTTTAGGCACACAAACACCACATTCCAAAGCCGTTAAGAGACCTAACTGCAGTCACAGAGCCAGAAATGGTGGTGGAGGATGGCTAGAAATGAACAAAATGGTTCCTAATGCTGGCTAGAGTTGACACAAATTCCTCAGTGACCTCTGGTTATTGTAACTGTGAGTGGGTTTTTTTTGTTTTTGTTTTTGTTTCTTTTCTTCATGCTGTGCTTAGATGTGGGTAGCTGTTCCTTTGGATTACCAGGACTCATCCTTCTTGTGGTAAGAAAACAGATAGTTGGCAAGTGAAGTCATTCTTCTCTCCTCTTTGTTCCAGGAATGATATGCTAAGCACACTGTTATCCAGGTCAGTAACTGCACCTACAACCCAACTAGCTCTTGTCTGCATTGTTACTTGCAGGCCATTGGTTGTGACTGAGAAGAAAAAAAGGTCTGTTATTTCTTCCCCTACCTTACTCAAACAATCTGATTCAGGGGCAATTTGTAGAGAGAATACCAATGAAAAATGCTTGCCCTAAAAGTTTGAGGACCTGAGTTTACCAGCACCCACAGAAGATCCGGCTGTGGTGGCAGAGGTTTTTAATCGAAGCACTGAGGAGAGGCATGGAGGCTGGCAAACTCTGGAGGAACTAGCCAAGCTCCAACAAAATGCCAAGCGTTTCCAAGCTGAAATGCCAAGCTCCAGGTTCAGTGAAATGCCCTGCTTCAAGAAATACGGCTAAAAATGACTGAGGAAGGCACATGACATTTATCTCTGATCTTTAGACATGCACTCAGGGATGTGAACTTGAGCACTCGTGAACTTGTACCAATACATGACACACACACAGAGAGGGAGGGGAGGGAGAGAAAGAGGTGCATATACAAAAATTCGGGAAGGATGTATGGCTCAATTAGAGCTAATCTGATCATGTTGGGATTAAAAACATGTACATTTGAATTTAGGGAGACCACTGAAGATCCCTGACAGCAAAACCAACACAAACTAGAGACAGGAGAACTGGTGTTTGAGACCATGTTTGATGTTGACCACAGACTGGACATGAAATATTCCTCAAAGCTCGTGAATTTTTACCACTTTATCCCCAGCTAGCAGCTCTGTTTTGATGGCTGTGGAGCTTACAAACAGTAGGGACTCTCTGGAGGAAGGAAGTTGCTAATGAGCAGGCCTTGAGGATAATAGCCCGCCCAACGTTAGTCTAATAAGTTTTCTGCTTCCTGGTAATGAACATGTGAGAAGGTGACAGCAAGTTCCCATTGCCAGTGACCCACTAAACACCAGCTTCACAAGAGTGACACATTAAATTCCCTTAAACTGAATCAGAATAAAGTTCTCCTCCATTAACAATAACTGTCAGGTGTTTTGTGACAGTAACTACAACAATAACAAATAGGGATATCTTCATTTAAGTCCCCAATTCAATCACACCAGCAACAAGACAGCCTCTGAACACACAGTGAAGCACTTGGTTCAATTTACTGCTGCACTCTCCTTGTTTACTTCATGTGAGTTCACGTCTACTTCTTATCTTTGTTACTGAATATCACTCTTGTTAATAAAAGAGGAAATTATTGACCTGCATTTTGCCAAAAAGGTACAGCTATAAAATGAGGTTTCATATAAATTAAATATCTAGGATACTGCAGTAGTTACTAGTAGGTAGACATTTCTTTCCTGTCCACCAGTTCCAAAATAACCAACTCAGAGGCTGAATATGAATTATAGATGATCAGCCAACAGCTCAGTCTTGTTACTAGCTAACTCTTACACTTAAATTAACCCATAATTCTTATCTATGCTTAGCCCCATGGCTTGGTATCTTTTCGCAGTATGACACTCTCATCTTGCTTTTCTGTGTTTGTGATGACTCTTTGGCTCTGCCCTTTCTCTTCCCAGAATTCCCCTAGTCTGGCTCTCAACCTCAATCTCTTACTGCCCAGCTATCAGCCAATCAGCTTTATACTAGTCAATGAGAGTAATATATATTCATAGTGTACAAAAAGTTCAACAGCATTTCCCCCTTTTTGTCTAAATTAAAAAAGAAAAATTTTAACTTTAACATAGTAAATTGCATATAGTAAAAATGTTATTAGGTAAGAATTACAGTTACAATATCTAGTCTGTTTGTGTTTGACAAAATTAGAGAAAATACTAACAAGCCTGGGCTACCTATGGCCAATCAGGTTTTTACTAGCCAATGAGAGTAATACATAATTCATAGTGTATAAAAAGATTGTTCCACAGCAACTTGTCTTACTGTTGTGATAAAACTCCCTCACAAAAACACAGAAACAATTTACTTTTATAGTCCACCATGGTGTGAGAAGGTGAGGCAACTTCTCCCATTGCATCCACAGGAATAAAGATGAGGGAAATCAATACTGGTGTCCACGTTACTTTTTCAATGTTCTCCAGCAAGTTGGCTCTTCCTTTTTCACTTAGCTGAATCTAGGTAACCCCTAACATTCAGATACATAGGCCAATTAAATCAAGGTAGTCCCTCACAGATATTCCCTGGAAGTTTATCTCCTATATGATTCCACATCCTATCAAGCTGACAATCAATTCTAACCATCACAAATATCAAGGGAAAAAAAAAAACGGAAAGAAGATGCCAACAGCATAAGACTGATGCTTCTATATTTGTTTTGCTTGCCGCAAGCTGTATGACACACAGGAGATGATTCCTCACCCAATAAAGAACTATAATAGGAATTTGGTGCAAAGGTATAGAGTGATGCTAATACCGATCACAGTGTTTGCCACTGATTCACAACTATGACAACTCTGTGCCATATAACAAATTATACGTAGTCTACATGTGCTTTAAATCTGGGCAATGAAATTGTGCTTAGTCAGACTATTTTAATTAAGGAATTTATATTGAAAATAGCTTTGCAACATAAACTTTCTACAGAGAGCATGGAAACTGAGTTTTGTTTTGTTTTGTTTTTCTGTAGTTCCCTTTTCCACTGACACATCTTAACCCTTAGAGGAAAAGTGTGGACTGGCTGGCTTCATTCACTGTATATTTTATGGCAGCTAGTTAAACCTCCTGAACTTTTTTGATTATTCCTAGGTATTGCATTTCTCCAATACTTTAAAATTGATTGTAATTGTAAAACACCTAAGAGGCATTCCATTACATATTCTACACATCATTGTAACATACTGATAAAAATAGGAGTTTCCAAGCATTAGATACTGAAATAGAAATTATTAGTGGGGTGTAGGGTATCTGTTTGCCACTGAAATTGTATGAAAAAATATTTCAAAAACATGTTATCTAAGTGTTTTCTTTTTTCCAGGGACATATTCCTAACTTTAATCAAATCATCAATGAAGTCTATAATCCAAAATGTGACATCAGATTAGAAGAAGAAAGGAAATTCTGTTTTTTAAATAGAAAATCAAGATGGAAATGATGATGTATGTTTGTATATAATTTCTACTTCCTTTTTCTTGTGAAAAACTACCTTCAGTATGAAGCCAACATTTGCAGGTGGCAGAATCATGAGTATATAAATATAACCAGGACATAATCTGTTCAATATTGCATGTCATCTTGACAATGATTGCTTTATTGTTATTGGTCAGGTTTCTTGCCAAAAAAAAGTATAATTCAAATTAAGAATCAAATGCAAAAACCATATCTCCATGATGCCACAATTAGACTCAGTACAGACACACTCAAGCCTAAAAGGTGAATTTATGTACTTTCAAAGACACTGCCGTTTAAGTGGTAATATCTCAGAGCCTAGGAGAGAAATTTTACCAAAATCCTCAGGTACGGCTCATTTGATCACAGTTCTAAATATAAAAAATGTCTAATATAGATATGTTTCCCTTATTGCATTTTTGGTTATGTCTCACCTGAAAAATAGCCATTCTTACTGTTTCCATGCCTAGAAATCAGATTCAGGTCACAGTTTCATCCATGTTTGACTGACAAACTAAAAAAAGGAGTAAACAAATGGGAAAGAAGGAAAGAAAGAAAAGAAGAGGAAGGAATGAAACGTGAGAAAAAACAGAAGAAAAGGGAAAGACAGGAAGAAACAAAACTTTAGGAGTTTTTATTCTAACTACAAGTTTGAGGAGAAACCATGTGGTTTTAGCCTTTACTTCTTTTAAAAACTACTTAATAACACTTAGCATTCACTTTTGCTGGATACTGTTAAACTACATATTTTTGATATTTTTCACTCTGTAGATATATTAACTAAGGATCTTGTTTGACAAAAATTTCAAATGATCACAAAACCATAGCAGATAAGCCAAACAGAAAATACATTGAAGTTTCAAGGTCTGTTTTCTTAGCAATCAGCATATGTCTCTCTTCTTTTAGCCATGAAGAGATAGAAAGTCCTTTCAGGCCATATTATAACAGTTTGGATAAAAGCCACTGGCTATATGTTTCCTTTCTCTTTCTACCCTTCTCTTGATCTCTAGAGTCCAAGAAACCCCACAAAGATTACATCTTCCAAACTTCCTTCAACTGGATAAATCTACTTGACTGTGTGAGCAACAAAACACGGGTCAAAGTGATACAGTTTCTAATGGTCCAAAGCTAGCTCCTCTATCTTTCACTCATGTGGGAGAGTTAGCAGGACATGAATAGGTGGAAAAGCAGAAACAGACTCCATGAGATGGTGATTTTGTGTTTGCAGACAAAGTGGGGTAGGATGGGGGGTATCTACAAAGGAACAACCAGAAAAAGGGAAGGACCCCTGAGAACTATAAAACACCCAATTGAGAGTCCATTTAGGAAAAGCTGACACTGAGAAGGGAGGGGTAGAGGGTGAGGGATCTATCTGCCTATCAGACAGGCTTGTTCCTGACTTTCTTTTATTTCAAGCTGTATTACCATTTTATTTTTATTACACACGGGGAATGTTGCCCTAGGCAGGTCTTTCTTTGACAGCTACAAATTCTTCTTCTTACTACACAACTCTTGCTAATCAATACAAGAAGAGTTGGCAACGTAATTTCTTTTCTGGAAGATTCTTTCTACTCCTTGACATTTTTCACATCTCTTCCCTAATTATTTCTGATTTTGACACCAGATAGAGAGTGCCTGTCCTTCTTAACAGGAAGCCATGCTTCACACATGGGTCTGACTTTTGCTTGGCCTTGGTCTGTCAAGCTTTCTGCTCCATCTCCAGTACTAATCCTGTCATGGTCTCTAGACAGCAATCTCTATACTAACTTTGTCTGTTTATCCTAAGTAGTCTTTCCTGTTCCTTTACTATCCCTCCAACAGAACACTTCATGTGCGTTTCATAATACCCCCCAATTGCTGCTAAGAAGACTTTGGGTGAACAAAAAATAGTTTGAAAACATTAGCATGTTTGTACCTATCAGTAATGTTGCAGAATATATTATAAATTATACATCAGAGATAAGTGACTCAAGTTATGTGCCTAAGTAAAACTTGTTCTCTCGGGTTTCAAGCATTTTAAGCCCCAAATTCCAATGAATATACCTCATAATTTGCATATAATACAAATATACAGCACTTCAGCACAATATCCTTCCAAGTGTGTTACATGCAGTGGAAGTATCTACAGTATTTTCATACATCATCACTGAAACATTTTTGGATCTTAAATATAAAAAGGTAATAGGAACAGTTTTTCTTCATTTTTCACATCTTATGTATATTAAGCCCAAAATAAATATATATTGAATATTTCACATACTTGAAATGTTTACTGCAACGTTGCCTATAAATAATTTCTATTTTGATGCATTCTCCTATTCACTTGATGGGAAAGACAAGAATATCTACACTATAGATTGATGTTAATGCATTTGCAATCTGCTACTGATTCAGGTTGATGAATGTCGGTGGCTAGGATGAAGAAGAGGAAATATGCTGATTTGGATTTTCTAAGACTGACTAATCCTTCACAGATATCACAGGAACACCATCAGTACCTAGAAATGTCAGAGGCATACTTAGCTAGAGGTAGCACATGCTTTTTCAAGAGCATCTGAACGTCAGAAGCTACTTACATAACTAACAGCACAAGAATGAAAAAGCTGTGAAAATTATTCACACGTCCTAATTCAATAACAGGGTAAATGTCTAGCTGTCACCAGGACTATGAGACTTCTCAGTAAGTTTTTTTCTGAATGAATACATGGTGTGCCTACGTGTAGAAGGTATCTACAAATTAACCATATTTACTTCTGTAACTAAAAACCTTGGGCTAAGCACTAACAAAGCAAACGGGGATGAAATGACTAAATGCCTTCCACATGGTTCTCAGCAAAACATGTGTGTCCAAGTTTGAGAACTATTTGCCTGTCTAGGTAGGAGAAACAGATGTGTTAATGTAGAGAGACAGAGCAGAATACTCTCAGAAAAGGAGTGAAAAAGAAAAACAACTTTGGTGTTCTTCCAATTGTGACACAAAGAGAATTTGTGACTTGAACTGTTGCTTAGCCTCTCCATTCTCTCCTCCCTGGCTTGAAAGAGGTGAGTTTCTCCATAGTTCTGTTAGCGATTAAATCAAGCTGCCCTAGATCTTAATGTTGAAGTTTTAAATGCTCAGAACCTCTGAGTGTGACCTTATTTGGAAGGCCTCTGTAGAGGTAACAGAATTAGAGTGAGCTCATTAGGGTGGGCTCTAATCCAGTATAAATTATGTCCTTCTTAAAAGGGAAAAATCTAGACACAGAGATATGCCTACAGGAACAGTGCCAGGTGAACTGGAAGGAGCTTAGACTTGCCAAGGAGGGAGGGCCAGGGCAGCTTGTTCCTCACAGCCATCAGAAGGAATCAGCCATGAGAACGCCTTAATTTTGGACTTGTCACCTCCAGAGCCAAGACAATAAATTTCTGTGGTTACAACCATTTAGGTTTTTTTTGTTTGTTTGTTTGTTTGTTTGTTTTTTTGTACCTTGAAATAGCAGCCCTAATGAATTAATAGTCTCAGGGGTCCTTGTGTAAAGGGGATTTAGAGGGACTAGAGGTTAGAGAGTCTTTAAAAAAAACATACATGTTGGGAATAGGGAAATAAATGGGAGTAGGTAGAAGTTCTTGTATAGTGTACCAAATGTAAGAGCGACCGTGAACACATATATATTCAAAAGCTACAGTCGAATTAATAATAAACCAAAGCCCCAACAACTGTGATGACTAAATGAGTTCAATGCGACCAAGATGGCCAAATGGTCTCTGCTACAGAAGAACAGGGAGAGAAACTTTAAGTGCATACGGTAAAAGCATGAGGTTCTGGGTTTGATCACTACCACTCACCTAAAAAGTTTAGTGGTGCTAGCCTGACTAATCTCACTGCTGGAAAGCAAAATTGAGAGGAATCCCAGTGCCCACTGGACAGTAACCTTGCTGAACTTATGTCCCCAAAGTCCTAGTAGACTATGTCTCCAAAACTAAGGAGGATGGGTCCGGAGGTATGACACACACATGTATGCACATATGTACATGTACTACTCTCACACACACAAATTTTAACTTATAAGTAAAATAAAAACAGTGATACATGTGATTTTCCAAATTTACTATTTTAAAAGAGTGAGCCATTTCTTGCTGAGAGCTTACAAATTCAGGTAAGCTTATACAGACTTTTGTTGTTTCTCTTGAAATAATATCTCAAATATTTAAAAAAAATTCACTAGGCTGACCAGGTATGGCCACCAGTAATAATTTCTACTTGCCTGTAATGTCAGCATTAGGTAAATTGAGACAGGAGGATCGAGAGTTCAAGACTAACCTAGCCTACAAATTCAGACAATACTTCCATAAACCAACTGAAGACACAAAACTACATCAAGCCACATATTTATGGATTTTCAGTAACTCAAATAAGCATCAAGTGGCATGTGTGCTGGAAACATGTGACATATCACACATAACATTCAATATACAATTGTGTGCACATATGTGTGGAAGTCAGGGGTCACCATCAGGTGTTTTCCTCCATCGCTCTGCACCGTGCTCTTTGAGAATTTTCAGTGAACTTGACAAATGAGCTCCAGAGTTCTACATGTCTCCACTTCTCCAGCCCCAACCATTTATATGGGTGCTGGAGATCAAACCCTGCTCATCAGGCTTGCTTGGCAGGTACTTTTCTCACTGAGCTATCTCTGCAGTCCCAAGAGTTCTCATTATTTACACACATATTTCAAGGCAAATTTATATTTCTAAGTAACATCAACAAATGTAGACATCTTGGTTAACAGAGAAGTCCTCTGATTTACTAGTCTAATCCAAGTTCGAGATTTCTATCTGGCATCATTATTTATTTCTAATAAGATACAAAAGCTTCTGGCTTTTGTTAAGTTAGTACACGTAAGAAAATACAGTTACTGAAGACGTTTTCATCTTTTATATATCCTTGAAAACGTCTGTTATACATAAAAATACAATTACCCATCTTCACATATTTGATAATGGGAAAGACTTTAAATAGTGTCCACGTTGTTGATAAAACAGCTGAATTTTTATAACAAAGACAGAACTGTAACTACATTTGCCTTCAATTTCCAATCATTATACGTATGGACACCTTTTGCTTAGTACAGCTGGAGCATACAAGAGTTGCTCTAACAGTTTGATACCTTTGCTCGCTGCATGTGAGGATGAATAGTGTAAAGGATGAAAAAAAAGAACCATTTTTCCATCCTAATCTCACTAATAATAGAAAATGGTCAGTACTTAGTCATGAATATGACTGCCCATTTGGCCCACACTTTGACATAAATTCAACAAAAATAAAATTCAATAATATAGCCTATTGCTGAGTAACAAGGGATGTCAATTATAAAAATAATGTGTAATACCTGTCCTTAACATTTCCTGAGTGCTGAGTAAGTGTCGGGCAATGGTCTAATTGCATGACATGTATTAATCCACTGGAAGGTCAGAAGCAAGCTAAAATGTAGGCACTGTTATTATCTCAATTTTAATGATGAAGAAAATGAAGCATGCAATACAAAAGAATTTGCCCAAGATCAAACATACACAAATAGCCAGAATCCTCACTCATGGTACTGCACTGCTCCTGTGAAGGAATGCTTCCACAGACAACTAAATCTGAACCAGTACTGTGAGCTGTGGACTGTGAGCATGATTTATGGGCATTGTCTCTATTTCATTAATGAGAGACTGTTAACTTACAGAGGGTAAGCCACTCATGATCACAGCCACTCAGCAATGGCCGGGAACCTGAATTTATGTTTGTCTGAGCTCAGTACTGGGGTTCATTTCATCAAGTTCACATCCAGGTTATAATGAAGCACAGTCTAACACAGCCATGCAAATATTAGAGTCCACAGGCCAAAGTCAATAAAGCAAATGGAGTTCAATGAAATCCACTCTTAGTGGAACAGGGACATTTCTTTCCTATTGTCTATGTTTGCTTGCACGCTACAGTGAAAAAGATGAGGAATTGTGAAAATGACTACATAGTCCAAAAATTCAAAATTACTATCTGGAACTTTATCAAAAGATGTCAGCTAAGCCCTGGTCAACATCTGGAAATATTTTTTTTAATTTCAATATAATTATAATTGTCATGTCTTGGATTTATTCTATAACTAGACAAATACTTGCCAAAGAAATAAAAAGGGAAACAGAAGATCTCAGTTTTTCTGTCCTGGGTAGAATCTTGTCTTCCACAATGATATGACATGATAAAGTCTTAAACCTGGCTGCCTAGCAACATGACCTTATTTAAAAAACTATTAAAAGTAAGCAAGCTAAACAGAGATTGTTAATGTGGCCCTTCGTTCAGTGTAACTAGAATTCTTTTTTTTTTTTTTTTTTTTTTTTTTTTTTTTTTTTTTTTTTTTTTTTTTTTT